CCCTACATCTAAAGGGCCTAGCGTGAACTTCACAACTAATGCTAAATGTGGCAGAACTTCTCCATGTCATCCATTCTGGATCAAGATAAAATCAGGGTGAGATTATGTCTTTGGTGGGCCCAAAGAAACCAACACTATATATACATATCTGTGTGAAAAAAAAACAGAGCAGTACAATTCTCTTTGTCTATAACCTGTTTTCGAGGTTGATGTGTGTCTTCTCCCTGACTTCTTAAGACTGGAACTACACAGGCTTTTCCCTAAATGAGCGCATTAGCAACCCAAGGTGGCCTTTCTTTTTCTACTCAGGAGCGAATGTTAACGACCAACCCTCTGGTCAGAGCCTGGGCTACAGTGGAAAGAATACCAGCCTTGCTGGCAAAGAACAGGGTCCTAGCCTTGACTGTCAGTGTAAAGCTACACTAACTATGGGCAGGTCACCACCTCCCTGGCCCCTTCCCTGAGTAGTAAAGAGGTTGTAAAGTGCTAGACGAGACGATTTCTTTCAGCTCTCTAGATAACTACCTGAGAGCACAGAAAGGGTAGGTGAAGGTATCTGGATGCCACTGGCTGGCCGGCAAAAGTGTGGAGGACAGACCCTCCTGGCTATGGATAACAAAGCCTCTCTGACTGCACTGTCTCCTCTCCTGCCAGAGTCCCCACTCTCAGATATCCCTGCTTCCTCCACACCCCTACCCCACCCAAGGTCACAATATCCAGCAGAGTGCCCTGCATACAGATATCACTAATTTTTGCTAGCTTCAGTTGAAGTTTTAACCAAGTACAGTGGTTGTTAATACCCCAATCCAACTTCTTAACAGAGAAACACAGACATAATTAAATGATGTTTCTAATAATGCCTAGCAGTCATCAATATAACAACACATCTCCGTGGTTTTGCTTTTTTCTTTTGCGGGGTTGGGGGGGACCGTGCATGGCTTGCAAGATCTTCGTTTGAACCCACACCCCCTGTAGTGAAAGAGCAGAGCCCTAGCCACTGGACCACCAGAGGAATTCCCTCCACATTTCTGGGTTTTATCAGAACAATGTTAATAAAGCACACACATTTCTCTTTCCTACACTTTATAAAGTACCACTAATAATCCCTCTTAAGTTCTCTTGAGCCAGGTCCCCATTCACAAAGCAGAGACACAAACAGAGGGAAGACTTCAGCCAACCCACGTCTATTCTTTGGATTAACTTCTCAAGATGCTCAGGACTAAAGCAAATCATTCACTTTGTTTAATGTCACTTTCATCCATCCCACAGATCCAGTCTGACTTCCCTACTGGCAGAAAATTCTCCAGAAGAGGGGACATCTTTATGATCACTCTGAGCAGCTTCCTTTGAGTCACTATCACATTGTCTTTTTATTCTCTTCATCACTATGTTCACTGCCAGACACATTTACTTACTGTCAACAGTCCGTCTCCAGAGCAGGCTCCTTCTCAATCCTGCCCACCACTGCACTTCCCATGTTTCAGAACAGTGCTTACAAATGCTTGTCAATGAAAATTAGAACATAGAGAACCTTAAACCATGTTTAGGGATGTGTTGTTCAAACACACAGAAAACAATCTTCCAATCAGGCTGATATTTAACTGTTGCAATAACTTCCACCCTTTCCCACAGAACAGCTTACATATGCAGACTGCAGTAAGGATATTTTCCCCTGTAGCTAATGCTTTCTCTTTCTTAACATTCCCACAATGAAGCATCAGATAACAAGCCACAGATACACCAATAAGTCACTTTACAGTTCATCCTCCTGCTGGGCCATGCACATTACCTACAAAGTAAATACAGCTCTAACGCAGAAAGTACTGATCGTGTTTGTCGCCATGAGAATCTTTCCACCCATACTGCGTGTACCATAGGTATTAAGACGACCTTCAAAACCTAATTAAAAACAAAAAAAACCTATTCAGTCTAAATGCAATGTGACCAAATTATGCTCTATGAAAGGCTTGATTTCATTATATTTCAAATGTATGACTTATGTGTACAGTTCTGCCCCAATACAAATAGCATTATGCTGTTTTCCTTTATTTTGTTACTTTTACCTCCACAAAAAGGAAATGAAGGCACACAGTCAGAAGCCCCAGATAGAGCTAATGATCACCAAGGTGTCTTGCACACAAGCCCCCAGGAGGAAGAGAGCTGAAGGCATGCTGGGGAAGGGCTGTCTTTTATCAATGTACCTTTTGAATCCCATCTGGCCAAAATGAGAGCAGGTACCAGATAATGATTCCTGTACATTGTAAACCAGTAACAGACAGGAAGGGAGAAAGCCTCGTATATATTGTGTCACTCTTTGAGCTGATAAAAGTTTTCAGTTCAAGCCAGAATGGCAGAATTGGGTATGAAAGAGAAACTTTTTCGATTAAATCTCAGGTGCACTGGCAAAACCGGCCAGTTCTGAGGAAAGTGAGATTTTAGAAAACTCGCAGGGATCACTAAATCAGAAGGCACAGCCTTCCTGAGGCCAAGTTTCAAATTCATTATAACTTTTAAATTAAAAAAAAAAAAAAAAGGAAAAGATGAAGAAGGGAAGCACAGCAGGCAATTTGGATTCCAAAGCCAATCTACCACTAGCTGATTTGTTACTTGAGCTGGCAGTGAGCTATAACGGACCTAACAGAGACTTTGGAGTCAGGGGGAGGACAGTCACAACCAGACCCTGACCCTCATCAGCTCCTTGACCTCTCAGGAAAAGAAGAGGTGATATATCTCTCAGGTCTGCTGGGTGGATTTTGTTAGATAAGTTAAAACGCCTTGGACAGAACATACTGGGGTATTTCTGGTTTTGTTTTTTAAAACAAATGCTAGCATCCTTTCCTCTCTTTAGAAAGACAAGGTTGAACTTAGAAGAAGTCCAACTCTAATTTCTTGATCTACATCCCACTACACTTTATGAAGGTTAAAAAAAAAAAGGTTACAGAAACTAAAGTCCTTATCTCCTGACATCTTACCGCCTTGGCAACCTTCTCTCTCAAACGTACACACAAATAAACGCTTCCTCTGTAAGAGTTTTATAACTTTTTCCTCATAAGTTACAACAAAAATGTAAATTTATGTGAGTAGGATAACTGTTTACAATTTAAGTAACTGTAAGGTTTTTAAAAGCCCACACAAAGCAAGGTCATAATTCAAATACCAACATAAATAGTTTATTTTGGGAAACCCCAAATAATCAATCTGCACAGCCATATAAAAGCATCTACCTATGTGACAGGCCTGATGTCAACACACAAGGAAAAGTCTACCAATCCATCTCCAAGGTGGGCATTATGAGCATACCTCCCAAAGCTGTGACCCTTTTTGAAATGTGTGCACAAAAAGAATTAAAAAGTGGTCTAAGAAAGACATGTCACACATTAGGCACATGTCCTTCAAGAATCCCAATACTAGAAATTTAAGACAAACAAGACCAACCTCTGAGGTTGATCCAGAAGGCCTAGCCAGTCAAAGGCATGGCCTAAGGCCCTCATACACCATAAAATCAGTGAAATTAATTGGGGTTCTTCAGCATCTGAGAGGAAGCATCCAGCTACCATTAAGGAATAAATTGGGGATGCAAATAATTGGTGCACCCTGAGGTGATAGTTAATTCCACTAGCATGCCACTTCACAGGAGATGTTATAGAATTCCACTTTATTCCTTCTCTGAGAATACTAAAGCTGTAAATTTCTAAAGTTAGCCAAATATCCCTTGAAGGAACTTTAAATAAGGTCCCTTCGTAATATCCTGCATAGGAAGATCTTGGATCTCCTTGAAGCTAACCAACACACAGAATCAAATACACATTATCCACAATTCCAAGTAGTCAGAAGACGACCAAAAGACCTTTCCCTGATAACTCCTTCCTGCAAAGACAAAAAAAAAATACAAGGCACATTCAGCCCAGGCTAGAATATACTTTCTGAGAAGCACAGAAAAGCATCTGGAATTTGAGGAAAAACTGCACCCTGACCAAGTCTTACACTCTGTCGGAGTAGAAGCTGAAAACTGAAAGGTGAGACAGGCTTTTAAAAGCCAGGTAAAGAACAGTCTGCATCTCCCAGGAAGTCACCTATCACTAAAGCAAAAGCACAAGAGACTACCTAAAAGCCCTGGAACGTTTGAGCCTTTACTGAAGCGGACAAAACTGAAGTATTGGGGAGGCAGGTAACTTGGCTGGCCAAGTTATAGTTATATGGTTATAGTTCACTTGGTGGCAAAGCTGGAAGGAGATTCCTGGGTCTTCCAGGTCGAACTTCATTCAGGGCAGTTTCCCACTTCAGCCAGCTTCCACTCCCTTTAAGATCCTCAGTGAGGATCTTAACTGAGGATCCTCCCTTAAACTCCTCACCGAAGCTGTTAACAGAAGGGTCCGATTATCATTCAAAGATCTGCCTGTTAGATAACAGCTAGAAAATTCCATCCATTTTACAGAAGTTATCAGAGACATCCAATCTTCGCGAGGTGGGGGGGGGGGGGGGGGGGAGGAGCGGTATCCTAATTTTGATCTGTCCCCTAAGGGCAAACGAAAGGGCTGCAGACAGTGGTAGAATCCACAACCACAAATACAGACAGACAATAATCCCCACCCACAGGCCCAGGAAGGCGGCCGCTCCTCTGCGCCGCCTCCCCACACACCCCCCCTCCCCGCCCCTCAACTCACTAAATTCCACTCCCATCCCGGCGCACGGGAGACATTCCACCTCCATCCTCTGCCAGAGCGGGCTGGGCCGGACCCGCCGCTCTCCTTCCACCACCACTCCCCATCTTCCCCAAAAAGATCAGAAGGCTAGAGCCCCAGGCACCCCCCCGCCCACCAAAACGAGCCGTCCGCTCGCACACGGGGGATCACCGGATGCAGCACCCACAGCCCTGCTCACCGCGGCGGGGGAGAAAAAGCCCACGCAGGAAGGGGGTCCCGCGCTCGGCTCACCGCCCCCGGGCGGGGGGCCGGGACCTTGCGCCTGGCCAGTCGGTACCTGCCCTCCGCCCCCAACAGGCGAGAAGCAGCCGCGTCCACATGGCTTCAGGTGTTCACATGGCAAGAAGCGGGCCTTCGGCCCTCCCCGCGGCGGGGGAGCGCGACGGCTTCCCAGCTCCGCTCCCGCCCGCGGTAGCCCGGCCGGCCCCTCCCCAAGCCCGGCCCTCCGCCCGCCCGCCCGCCTGGCCCCCAGCAAAGTGGCGAGAGCTGCAGGATATACCCGGGGCTGCCAGGGGGGCACCCCCCCACCCCGGGGCGGGCGGCGCTGACCCCGCCGACCCCCCGGACGCCGCCCGCTCACACCCGCCGCCGGTGCACCCGAGGCCGCGACGAGCAGGTACCTTTCTCCGGCACCCTCAGGCCAGGACCGGTGCCCAAGCCTGGTCAGACCGAGACCCCCCACCCCCCGCCTCAGCGCCCCGATGATGCAAGGTCGGGCCCTTTCCCCTCAGCGCCCCGAGGCCAAGGCAGGCCGCTCCTCTCTGCACTCCCGGGTCGGGTCGGGCCGGCCCCTCAGCACCCCGAGTCCTGGCTTCGGAGTCCGGGGGGTTCGGCGCACTCTCAGGTCGGGCCGGGCAAGGACCTCTGTCTGCCCCCAGCCCCAGAGGCCAAGACACCCGGCCTGCCCGCCCCCCACAAGCTCCTCAGCCCCTGACCCCGGCTCCTCCCCCTCAGGCGCGGGCGGCGGTTACCTGCGGGAGCCCCCCGCCCGGTCCCTCGGCCTCAGCCGGGGGCGGGAGGGGAAGGAGCGGCGGCGGCGGACGGCGCTGCGCGGGGTGGGGGTGGGGGAAGCCTCCGCCGCCTCCAGCTCGGGCGCCCTGGGCCGGCGGCGGGGCGGGCCGGGGGGCCGCGGCCCCTCGACGCTCGCTCCGGCCCGCGCGCTCGCGCTCGCTCGCTCGCTCCCCGGTCGGGCGCGCCTCAGGGCGGGCTCCCCCGGCGGAGGCCGCGGCCGCCTCGCAGGGGCCGAAAGCCGCTCGGCTCGGGGTTTTTTCTCTCCATTCTCCCAACACACAGGAAATAACAGAGCGTCAGGTGACGCCGGACGGCCAATCGCGCGGCTCCGAGCCGCGGCGCGCGCGGGCGGGCGGGAGCGGGGCGCGCGGCGGGGGCGGGGCGCGCGGCGGGGGCGGGGCGGCGGGGGGCGGGGCCGGCGGGCGCGCGCGTGCCCACCCGCGTGCGGCCGCGCCGACGCCTGCGTGCGCCTAGCCGGAGACCTCCCGGCGCCCCCCCGGTCCGCCCCGTCCGTCCCGCCCGCCCGCCCGGCGGCCTGGGTCGCGCGGAGGCGGCGGCGGGTCCCCCTCAGCAGCTGCGGGGTGCGGCGCGCGTGTCTTGCCGCTCACCCAGTGCCATCTTGGCCCGCAGATCCCGGCCGTCCTGGGAATGGCCGCGAGCCAACTTTCTGGGGAGTTGGTGGCCCAGAATCTCTCCTTGCGATTTCTGGAGTTCCCTCGGAGCCACCAAAACCAAGATCGCGCCTCTGGCCCCGCGTGGAGAGACCCCCCGCGCGGGGCCAGGGGCCCTGCTCTCTCTCCCTGTAACCTGGCTTAGTGGGGCCGGCTCCTGCCCGCCCTAGCGCCCTCCGGGCCCGCAGGCCTGCTTCCCTAACCGCCCTCCACCCCTTGGCGCCGCGTGTCCTTGGATGAATGACTTGGGCCCTCTTGGGACTCAGTTTCCTCCGCAATAAAAGCAAGGATGAGGAGGCCCACCAACCTCGCCTGTAAAATAGATGCTCACCAAATGCCAGTTGTCTTTGCCTGAGGCATCCTTAAAAAAAAACTGCCAAGCCTGGCTGGCTGGACCCAGGGTCCAGAATTAATTTGGAGATGAGGTGGAGGATTTGTGGCGCCAAGGCCTCGGGCAGTTCCCAGCCTTCTTTTGCAAATCTCATGTACGTTTTATGGAGCAAAGGAATGGTTGACTTTTTTTTTTTTTTTAGAAAATCTCAGTTGTAAAACAACCGGAGATGTTTCTGCTGCGTGACCCACTGTGATCACCAGTGAGACAACCAGTGAGAGGGTTGGTTGTGTTTGAAGTGTTTGTGATCCCCTCTCTCACTCACCCAGAAACCTGGTCAAATTTTCTCCCCACTCAAGGCCTGTTTCCAGTTGGGACAGGGGGAAGGAGGAGCATGTGGACTAGATGTCCCTAACGTTGACTAAAACTGCTAATTCTAAATTAGGCCCCCATCTGCCCTAGATGTTAAGGGAGTATATGTGGCTTCCTTTCCTAAAGCAACCTGACTTGAAAGTAAACTAGAATTGGAAGAAGTGGGCAGCAGGTGGAAGCTGATAGGAATGGCCTGGGGTGCAGTTTCAGTGTATTTGAGGTCCACAGCTCCCCAGGGCCTGGCTCTGCCCTTTCACCTGTCACCCTACCTAGACAGAGACATTAGCTTTGTCTTGCCCTGGGCCACCAGAAGAGGATTCTGGCTGTGGCAACACCTGCTGCCAGCAAAAGGATCCAAAGCAGGGCCTGAGTTGCTGCTGGCACCCCAGGAGGATGTGGCTGGGGAAGGCCGTGATTTCTCCTGGCTTCTGTCCAATCGTACAAAGTGGGGGCTGGCTCCAATGTGGGTCAGAGCTATTCTTGGACCCTTGGGCCCCCAGCACCTCGTGCATGCCAGGTGGGGTGCCGGTCTCTTCCGGGTAGAGCTTTACAGGCCGCCAAGCCCTGCCCTCTGGCTGTTCCCATTGTTCTGTGAGTTTCATTTTCAAATTCTTTGGCACCAAGACTTAAGAGACCAGTGCTGGCTTTTGCTTGAGTCAGAGCTACAGACGGAAAGAGGGAACTCTTAGCACAGACCCATGTTTTCTGGACAAACACGGAAAGATGTGTAAGAGCTTCCATTTGGCGTTGGGAGCTCTCTCAATTTCTTGAGAGAATTTGTGAAGAAAAGGGAAGGCCATTTCCTAAGAGTCTCCTTCCCCTATCCTTCTCCCCTTCCTATTCCTTCTTCCTCAGCCCCTTTGGGTCTCAGACTGGGGGACCAGAACATGAAAGGTATGGCGACAAGCCATGCAAAGCCTCATTCAGAAGGGAAGGAATGCAGACAGGTAACTGAAGTCCAGGCGTTTGTTTGTTCCTGCCTCCTGTCCTGAGACTGACCCTACAGCCCCCTCCCCCCCACTTTGGACCCTGCTGGAACAGTGGCTAGCTAACATCCGACTGACCTGGAGACTTCCCCAGTCCTCAGGCCAGGCCAGCCTGGACATTTTCCCCTTAGCAGCCTATCACTTTCCCTTCCAGTACCATCTGGAAAGAGAACATGTGTGGGCATTATGACCAACAGACAGACTTGGGCTGTGTGGCCTTGGACTAGTCACTTCACCTCTCTGAACCTTGGTAAAATGGGGATAATGTGACCTCACTCATGAAGTGTTATGGGAATCTAAAGAGATGCATAAAGAATTCAGTACAGTACCAGGCACACATTAGCAATAGCAACAGTTCTATGATGTGGACAGACAAGCAGACTGAGGTTCAGAGAGCTAGTCAGTCACTAGTCAAGACCCCATAGTGGCCAGAGCACAATTAACTGGAAACCTCTTTGATCACATTAGTATCCTCCATTGTTCTCTCACTGTCCCATCTGTGAGAATCCTGTTTTTCCTACCACACTTGAACAGTAGATTAGTTGAGTTTTTTTCCTTTTTCTCCCTCTCTCTCGTCTAACCCAGTCCCCTCGAAAAACACTTATTGAATTGAATCAGTGGTTTCAATTCCAGAAGCAAAATTAATCCTTTCCCTCCTCCTCCAGCTCGGAGATGGCTTTTGGAAACCCCGTGTCACTCCCTTTATTACAAACTCCTCTGCCCTCCTGCAGGCGCCTGAGCCACTCCAGGATTACAAATGGAGCCTTCTGCCTCTAGGTCAGTGATTCCGCTACCATCTGTCAGCACGGATTGATTGAGGAGACTGGCCCTGCCCGGCGTATCAGTGACTTGTGCGAAGTGAGCCGGGTGCGGCGCCTTCAGCGGCAGGCGGATGTCCTTCCTCTGGCTCCCTGGCGCTCTCTCGAGCACACGTACCGCCTGCCCGCACCTTTATCCTTCAGTGGGCCCCAGCTCTCCTTCCTCTTGGGAGGGGCCTCCAGCTAACTGGAGCACACGAAGAGGGAGGCCTCCTGGAACTCCTGCTCGCAGGCCTCCAGGAGACGAATTAGCAAAAAAAGCCTCCGCTTACCGGAAGTAGGGGACCCCCCTCCCTCCGCCCCCATCCTGCAGAGCCTGTCCCCAGCCAGGCACTTTCCCCACGCCGAGCACAAACAGCAGGGGTGGCCAGAACTTCTGTGGGCACGCCTTCCTTCCACACAGAGCACCTGCGGTGTGCGAGGCTGCGGGCCCTGATGGAGGGAACGCAGGACCTCAGAACAGGTCTTTCCCAGGCAAGGGCAGGGCAGGCAAGAAGGCGCAGGGGGTGGGGATGGCTCCAGATAGAGTGTCCGGGAATCCCAAGACTAGCTGCGTGCGGACAGCCACGCAGTTCCCAGGAGTGCACACAGCCATGGGAACCAAGACGGGGGTGCAGAGATGGGTAGTGGTGGGATCCTACAAGGCCTTGTATCTGGGACATTTGGTTTCATGGAGTCTCCCAGTGGCCTCTGACCCAGAGATCTGCCCCTCAACCCTGCCCTCCCCCTCATTCCTCCAGGGCCCAAGCAGTGGCTGCCTCCTCCTCAGCCCTCGCTGGTCTCACTGGGCTGTCTGTGCTCGCATCCATTCTGTCCCACAGGACCGTGAGCACTGGCAGGGCAGACCCCTCTGCTTCCCTCGGGTCTCCAGCATTCAAAGGCAGGGCCAGGCACCATCACCATAACAACGATCCCATTAGAAATGGATCCCCAGCCCAGAAGAATCCAGGCTCGCTGGGAATAGGCACTGTGGGTTTGCAGCGATGCGATGAGGTTGGTAGTGTTCCCATCCCCACTTTACAGATGGAACCACTGAGACACAGAGCTGGACAGCTTGTCCCAAGTCACACTGCTCAGAAGAGGCCAAGCTGGGATTGGAACCCGGGTCTTTAGAGGTTGCACTCTTAGCCACTAAGTTTCCCAGCACTCGGCAAACACGGGAAAGATGGATGGACACAGACAGTTGGTGGGCCCCAAAGTTTGCAGGCAGACGGGGAAAGAGATGGGAGGGGATACAGCAGGGTGGGTGTCAGCCTCTCCCCAAAGTAACAGTGTAGATCCCTGGAGCCTGAGCAGTTTGCAGGCGTTAGACCCTCAGACCCACACCTGGAAGACCAAGGCCTGCCCACCAAGCAGCAGGATCAGGACACCAGAGGAGACGCAGCCAGGCAACAGGAGGCCCCTCTCACGGGACAGATCACCCTTCAGCCCACTCCCCACTCCTGCCACTTGTGGTCCGAGTCTCCCTGGGAAGTCCCTGGCGTGGTAGCCCAGTACAGGGCACTGAGCTGGGGGCCTAGCCTGGTTTTACTGACCTGTGTCCTTCAGCAAATTATCTGATGGCCCTGAGTCTCATTTCTTCAAATTGTAACGGGTGGGAAGAAGAGCCCAGTGGTCTACCTGCCTCCAGGAAGTCGGGTCCCTTACCTGGCCGACCCCAGTCTCTCCTCCCCGCTCCCAACCTTATGAGGCAGGGATTGCCATCTTCACGGTGCAGAGCAGGAAATGGGATACACAGAGAGGTTAAGAAACTTGCCTGAGGTCACACAGCTAGCAAGCCACAGAGCTAGTCTGAACTCAGCCTTCTGGCCCCGGAGCCCCAGCTGAGTCACTTGCAGCCCAGCAAAGTGCTAAACTCAAGATGAAAAGATCTGACAATAGTAGTGACAAAGGCGTGTTCTAAGCGCTTCACCTGCGTTAACTTGCTTAATCCTCACCAAAGCTCCATGAGGTGGATACTATTATTACCTCATTCCGCAGATAAGGAAACTGAGTCACGAGGCAGAGACGAAATCTGAACCCAGGCAGTTCGGACTGTGGAGCCCCTGCATGGCTTTATCACAGGCAAACAATAGGGAGGTTCCTTTCCATCGGGATTATTTCTGCTTGAAAGCTCAAGACTTTTAGCCCCGTCCCTGTTGGGCTCCACAGGAAGGCAGTGCTGCATGCTGAGGCATGCTGGGAAAAGACTTTGTTCCGTCCTGTTCTGTTGACACGCTCTTCACTTTAAGCCTGAAACCCCAGCTTCCTGCAAAGAATTCAAACCGTGGAGAAAATACGCAGCCATGATAACAGCCACGACTTCCCGCGCCTCCAGTGTTCCCCGTGCTTGGGGCTCCGTGTGTGTGTGTCCTCATCCTTGACCCTTCACAACACCCAAGTAGCCCCCCGTTTCACAGCTGAAAACACTGAAGCCCAGAATTGCTCATAAGATGCCCCCCCGCAAAGGCACACGGCTGCCAAGTTGCGGCACTGGGTCATTCTCGAGAATCCCAGTTCATCGGGACACATCTGCCGCACTCCCACCATGAGGGGTGCAGAGGTGGCCCTGGTGTGCTGGGCTTTGACGGAGATAGTGCTGTTGCTCCGCGACCACACGGTGTCACAACTCCCGGGCCACGGGGAAGGTACTAGGACACAGGTGTGGGAAGCGTGGATGTCAGCGTCCGCTCCACTCCACCTCCCTCCTTCCAGGGACTCAGGCGAGGCTGCCCTGCCACCGAGGTGAGAGCCTTCTGGAAGCAGTCCTGCCCTGTGAGGTTCCGCATCACTGTCTGAGTCTCCCCGGGAGCTCACAGGATAACTCCAAGGCACATGTGTGATGCCGGGGAAATAGAAAGCAGCCAAGTCAGTGGATTCTCCAACTCCCAGCTGGTCTTCTGGATGGCAGCCTTTCTTCCTGGCCCACCCCTCCCTGCTGCAAACTCATTACAGTTTCCAGAAGCCAGCTTTGACCCTACTGCCCCCACTACCTCTGGCTCAAAAGTTGTCGGTGGGTCCCAAGGAGTTTCAGAATTCAAGTAAATTCTCAAAGCCCTCATCTGGCCCCCACCACCTCTCCAGCCTTCTCTCACATGTCCCATCCTGCTTCTTTGCCAAACCAAATGAGTCGTGTCCCCACCGTGTGCCTGTCTGCTACCCAAAGCAGGAAGCTCTTCCCTCTTCCCTAGACTGAAATCATACCCTCTTTCAAGTCTCTTTCAAGTCTTACGCAAATGCTACCACCTCCACGAGCCCTTACCTTAATACTCAATATAAATTCATTCAACAAACAGTAATTGAGCCCTCACCATACACGAGGTCTTGAGCCCAAGGGTCTTTATTGTCATGGAGCATATAGTCCCCTGGGACCATTAGAGCAAAAATCATCACATAACTAATCATTTGGTAATAGCCACGAAGGAGACACAGAAGATGCAGGTTTGATCGCTAGGTCAGGAAGATCCCCTGAAGGAGGAAATGGCAACCCACCCATGCGTGCAAACACGCATGCACACACAATACACATTGATAAGAAAGCAGGAAGGTGCACAGAGGGTATGTAATAGGAGCCTGGGCTTGGGGGATCCAGGACATTTGAGCTGAGACCTGCAGTACAGATAGGAAGTTGCCAAGCAATGAGGTTGGAGGAGAGAGCTCCAGGCAGTGGGCACAGCACGGGCAAAAGCCCTCAGGCAGGAGGGAGCGAGCGGATTTCCAGGAAGGGAAAGGAGGCCAGTGCAATTCAAATGAAATGAGTAAGCTGGAGGTGCAGCTGGAGCAAAACAGTGCAAACCGTGAAAGGCTTGGGGACTTTATCCCAAAGGCAAAACGAGGAACTGCGGAAGGTTTCCAAGCAGAGAAAAGAGTCAGTGTTCATTTATAAACGATCCCGCCAATTGCTCCGTGGCTTAGTGTCTTCTGAAAAGCCTATGCTTTGCATCCAGCCACCCCTGACCCTTGGCCGTCTGGTCATTTAGGGGTGGAGTTTTCAATCCCTTCCTCCAAGACTGAGCTCTCAAGGGTAGAGCTGACCTCCAGTTCTTCAGCATCATCCTCCGTGTGTGGAGCTGCTCCAAAACTGTTTGTGGAATGAGCTAACAGACATGACACTTACCAGCTTTTCCCCTGGAAGGGGCCAGGCTGCCTGGGGGAGCGGGGGGCCCTTCCACATTCTCTGGAAATCACAAAATTCAAGGGTTTCAGTGAGGTCACTCCTCAGGGAGCCCTTGCAAGTATAGCCGGCATCTCACTGAAGCCCACGTCCAGGGCCAGCACCCAGCAGTGACACCACACAGGTGTCTGCCTGTGACCGTGTCCCGAACAACCAGAAACAGAACCGAAAGATCCCAATCGCTGTAAGGTGCTTTCGAGCTTACAAAGCACATTTCACACGAGCAGACTCACACGGGGTCAACCCTCACGGGTGGATTCGGTTCCTGCCCTGTTTTACAGATGAAGAAACTGAGGCCCAGGCAAGGGAGGGTCTCTGAAAAGTCATCTCAAAGCCAAGCCTGGAATCTGACAACCGTTCAGGCTACTTATGGTCCCCGTGAGGATAAGAGAGCTCTCTGGAAACTTCTTTTGAAAAATGTTTTAAAGTGATATATTTCATCAGGATGTCTGTCACGCCAGCAGTGGGAGCCAACACACCAATTCTCGCAGGCCGTTCCCCCTGCATGTCAGATCTTCACGCTCAGCCCCAGGCCCTGGCGGCTTAGCCCAGGGCGTGGGAAGGGCCTGAGTGATGGAGCCTCAGCTCGCTGGGCTGGGTGCTGGCACAAAGCAGGTGCTTGGGAGACTCAGAGTTCTCCAGCGCAACCTGGGCAGATTGGAGGGTGAACAATAGAGAACATTCCTACAGCTCTCCTGTGCGCCGGGAGCCACGCTCGAGAGTTACCTGCATTGGCTCAGGTCTTCCTTAAAACAAGCCTAAGAGGTGAGTACCACGATGACCTCCACCTCTCTTGTTGTTTAGGGCTTCCCTGGCGGCTCAGAGTTGGACACGACTGAGTGGCTAACACTTTCTTTCACTTTCGTTGTTGTTTAGTCACTCAGTCATGTCCAACTCTTTGTGAACGAACCGTGGACCATAGCCCGCCAGGCTCTTCTGTCTGTGGGATTTTCCAAGCAAGAATACCGGAGCGGGTTGCCATTTCCTTCTCTGGGGGATCTTCCCGACTCAGGGATCGAGCCCACGTCTCCAGCATTAGCAGGAGGATTCTTTACCACTGAGCCCCCCAGGGAAGCCCAGTTATCCCCACTTACAGATGTGGAAACTGAGGCTCAGAGCAATAACTAATTAGCCTGCAATCCCACAGCCAGAGAGTGGCAGAGCTGGGATTTGAGCCCTTTAAGAAACCCCATGCCCTTGGCTAAGTAAAAGTGGGCAGAGGCGTCCCTGGCAGAGGATATGACAACTATGCATCCTCCAGGACTGGGACCATGTGGGGTGCCCTTCCCCCACACACTTGATGACCATTACTTTTTTTTTTCTTTCTTTTCTGTCTTTTGCTTTTTCTTTTTTATTTGATGACCGTTATTTGGGGCTTCCCTGGTGGCTCAAGCAGTAAAGTGTCTGCCTGCAATGCAAGAGACCCGGGTTCGATCCCTGGGTTGGGAAGATCCTCTGGAGAAGGAAATGGTAACCCACTCCAGTACTCTTGCCTGGAAAATCCCATGGACAGAGAAGCACGGTAGTCTACAGTCCATGGGGTTGCAAAGAGTCAGACACGACTGAGCGACTTCACTTTCTTTCTTTCTGGTGACTCAGTGGTAAAGAATCTCCCTACCAATGAAGGAGATATAGGTTCGATCCCTGGGTCTGAAAGACCCCCCTGGAGAAGGAAATGGCAACCCACTCCTGTATTTTTGCCTGGGAAATCCTAAGGACATAGGAGCCTGGTGGGTTAGAGTCCATGGGGTCGCAAAAGAGTCGGACACGACGGAGCGACTAAACCACAACATCCTTGTTCCAGTGGCTTGCTGGCATAGTCACTATCTCATTGCAGGCTTTGCATCTCCCCAGCCTCCTTCTCCCGCCTCCACCCCATGGTCTCCGGGCTCACTTAACCTGTCCTGCTACCTGTGAGCTCCCAGCATTAGAATCTACCCCATCTCCTTTATGGTAGTTAGGTGCGGTGTACAACAGGCTTCCCAGGTCATTCAAGTGGTAAAGAACCTGCCTGACAATGCAGGAGACATGAAATTTGGGCTTGATCCCTGGGTTGGGAAGATCCCCTGGAGGAGGGCATGGCAATCCACTCCATTGTTCTTGCCTGGAGAATCCTATGGACAGAGGAGCCCAGCAGGCTACAGTCCATAGGGGCACAAAGAGTCGGACATGACTGAAGAGACTCAGCACGCAGGCATGGGGTATAGAAAAGAGAGGGGGCAGAGGGCGATGCTGCCTTGAGAAGCTCCTTAAGCCATGGAGCTTTTTCATCTGAGGAATGGGGACATATACATTGCCCGCCACAGAGGGCTGCATCCACGCAGGTGCTTACTCTGCGACCTCACACCTAAGCGCTGGTTCTCTTATTCTGACCTCAGGTGCCCTCTGAGGTGGAATCACTCTTCCCGTGAGCAGGCAGGCTCACATTCAAGCAGCATCAGTCACCCAGCACAGCGCAGTGGGACAAGGAGTGAGCAGTCTGTCCGACCCCAAAGCTCGAGAGGAGGAAGGGTAGATGAACCATTTGGGTCTTCCAGGCAGCTCAGCGTCACCCTGCTGGGTGTGGCTGGACGTCGTGGCTCCCGAGTCCTGTACCCACCCACTCCCAGGACCATCCCCAAACGGTGCACATCGAGTGGTGTGGGGGCAGCCTCGTGCCCTCCTGGGCGCCCCTATCTCACTGGACCCGATCAGCCCCCTCCTCCAGCCCAGGTGAGGGAGGCTGGTGGGGCGGGAGGAGCAGTGGGAAGGCTGGATGCCCACGTTGTTCAACTGTGGGCTGACTGCAGAATGGAAGGGAAGAAAGCATCCTTTTTGGAAAAATCAATGGACAGAGGACAGCCCCCAAGTCACAACCTTCATGGAAGCCAGCCAAGAAAACAAAAGATACCAGAGAAATGGGCGCCCCTTCAGTGAGCAGCTGAAAGGTGATCAAGCCCAAGCCTCTATCAGACAGACAGGAAGACTGAGACCTAGGGTGGGGCCAGGACTGACTTGGGGCCCCACGTGTGTCCCAGGCTCTACCCTGTATAAAGGGGTATCCAGTCCCAGGTGGCCCATTCACAGTGGTGGGTGGGCCCTTGTGTTCCTCATGCTGCACTCCCCAGCCTTCCAAACCGTCTGGTCTGGCCCCCAGTACCAAGGGTGCCAGCTTAGCCTTGCCCAGAAAATAGGCTATTCCCTGTGCTTCTGGCTTCTGGGATCCCCTGCCCACCCCACCCCCACACTCACATGTTAGTCAGTTACTGTATTCAATAAGATACTACATAGTTATGCAATTAGAACAGAGCCTGCCTGACTCACAGTAAGAGCTCGTGTGTGTGTGTGTGTGTGTGTGTGTGTGTGTGCACGCGCGCGTGCGCTTGCACGTGCATGGTAAGTTGCTTCAGTTGTGTCCAACTCTGCAATCCCATGGACGGTAGCTCGCCAGGCTCCTCTGTCCATGGAATTCTCCAGGCAAGAATACTGGAGTGG